AACTCTTATTTTTCTTCTTATGATTTCTAACACTCGGCCACTCATATAATTCCTCTTCTTCTCTCTTTTTCCTATAATTTTTCATTGTTTCCTTCTATCATCTACTTATTCTACCCACATTTAACATATTTGTTTTTGGCAACCCTACTCACTGATGAGCCTCAAGGGTTGGCAAAAACCATTAACCTCTTGTCATTTTTTATCCTAACTCATCACCTCACATACTTGTAACCTCATTGTTTAATATTTTGTTTTTGACTACCCATAACTTTATATGGGTTGACAAAAACATAAATAGTGGTTCGTCTGAGTAAGAGGCGAAACGAACCACCTCTTATTCTCGAATTTTCAATCCTAAACTCTGATTATTCAACCTCTTTCTGACTTCTTCATCTAGAGGCCTGTACCTCTTTACTGCAAAATCTTCGTGATCCAAAATGTGACATGTATATCTGGTTGGGGAAAGTGCTTGTCTTGCGACCATCCTCTTTCTATACATAAATATTGTAACAGCCAGGTCTCCAGGAGTACAGGGCCGAAGGAAACAATTGATGATCCACAAGAGTTGGCAGCCAACTTACAAGCTGAAGCGACGCGGAAAATCGAGACGAAAAGAGTGATCGACGTCCGATCAAGGAGGAGGATGAGCCGAAGAAGAATTCATTCAAGGATAATCCGCCGGCCCGGCTATCCTCGGGCCCACAACGCTTCTGTCGTTTCCTGCGGTGTGTCCGTATTCAGTGCCAGATAAAGGATATAGCTTCTGTGTATTGTCTGTGAATGGTATTCCAACCCATCAACTGACTACTATGAATCCACCAGCCAGACAAGGTGTTTCTTCGTTTACTGCTCAGGTGGTGGTCTTTTCCTCTTGATCTTTTCCTCCACTAGTGCTCTACTTTCTCTCGTATTTTGCCCAGCTGAGCAACTCTCATCCTACATCTATGCCAGCAGGCAGGTGATTGAGAGTTTCTTCTCTTCCTTTTCCCCTGCATAGAGTCTTTAGTTATTTCCGTGATGTCCCATCTCTATTTCCCGCTCTATTTCATGCCCTACATTTCCACCACCTCATCTTTCCACCTTCTAGTTATTTCCTCACGAAAAACATTCTCAGTTTTGGGAGTTGCACAATAATTTCCTCTGTTCTTATACTTCGCTATCCTTTTTTCCCATCTCATCTTTTCGACCATGATCCCTTCAGGCTGGCAGAGTGCTTGATGACCTTTCTAAGTCTAATGAACCGATTTATTTCTATTGTAGATCAAATTCCTCAACGGGCGACGGTCAGCTCGTAGGAGAAAGATCTTCCCTTCCTTTTCTTCTCATTTTTGCAATTTTCTTAACTGAACATTGGTAAGTAACGGGGTCTTGCGTCGCAGGCACGGGTTACGTCAGAGAGCGCTGCATGCCTATCAACATTATCTTCGCGGCTACCATCTGCGAACAATCGGCCAAGTGTCTTGCTTTGCATGCAAGCGGGACCTATTCCAGCTTACCGTAACATTCCTATCGCTGCCAAGCTTTCACAAACAGCGTCTTATCTCGGCAGGAAAGCGCGTCCACGTTGAGTTTCGTTATCAGCATTCTTTCTCCAGCAATCTTAGAAACGTTACATCAAATGGATTATCCAATCCTGATATCTCCCGCGCGAGATTCCTTTTTACAATGTTTTCCACTCCCTCACATAGCGCAGGCTCCTTAGTATAGAACCTTCTACCAGCCTCGCTCTGCTATCCATTTGTCTAGCCTCGCTAAGTCGCCTCGCTAAGCCTCGCTCATCTCTTCTAGGGTCTCCCCAACTCTGACAGTGAGCCTCCGGAACTCGAGTCGGCCCTGCCTTGGTTGGTACCCAAATTCGAGGAGCTTCAAGAAGACTCTCCTCTTTGTGGGCGCGACGTCAAGACCCTCCGAGATGCCACTTCTTCATCACTGCGCCCCACGCTTTCAGAAGAACAACAGGCCAATTCCTGGTCATTTGGAAGGAATGGCATGCGAAAAAGTGAAGGAACTAGATAACGACGTAAGGAAGTCCCACGCTACGCTCCTCCTTTGAAAGACCGCAACAACGTTACTTGGCTCGCCAAAAGGGATCCGGCTGTCGGCAGGAATCTGGCGAACCTTTTACTGCTTCGTTAATCGAGTCCTCAATCTGGGTAGCGCAGCCAGGGCAAAATCTGATTAATCAAAAAGCGCGTGTACTAAAGGAGTTTGTAGCTCGCCAAGGGGGGAGGTCCGTTATTCTGTGAAGTCGAAGAATCCCATGACTTTTGAGCAGGCATTCATTCAAGGCTCGGACAGTTGAACAGCTCCTCAACGAAGCGGAACGCCTTCTACAACCTGCAACATTCCCGCCAGCTATCCACGTTTTATCCCTGCTTGACCAGGCGCGCGTTAGAACCCCTCCGCCTTGGGAACCCGCGCCACGATGACCCCCACGGTGGCGCGCGGCCACCTTTGTTCCTCCAACTGGACAATATCAGCGGCCTCCAACACGAGTTCACCGCAACCCAAACGGACTTAGCTGCTCAAACTGGAGTGGTCATAGACACATTGCGGCCGTCTGTCCGTCTCCGCCCCCCGAATTCGGCTCAACGACTCACCGCGCAGGATGTCTCCCTTACGCGGAGGAAGAGACCTCCGCTCCAGTTCGCAGCGGTTGTTGTTTCGGGTTAGAGCTCCTCGACGCAAAACTGTACCCCGCTTACCCCGCTGGGACCTTCAGCCAGTTGCCTACCTCCCGGCTTCTCTCGAGTATTCTCAGCGTCAGCTTCGTAATCATCAAGCCCGCATGGAGGCCCCATTACAGCGGAACGCGCCCCACGCTTTCAGAAGAACAACAGGCCAATTCCTGGTCATTTGGAAGGAATGGCATGCGAAAAAGTGAAGGAACTAGATAACGACGTAAGGAAGTCCCACGCTACGCTCCTCCTTTGAAAGACCGCAACAACGTTACTTGGCTCGCCAAAAGGGATCCGGCTGTCGGCAGGAATCTGGCGAACCTTTTACTGCTTCGTTAATCGAGTCCTCAATC